TTTGAAAAAAGTAGGGGGAACAAGTGCCCCCCCCCCCCCCCCCCCCCACTCACACACACACACACACACGCACACACGCACACACATACACCACGTTGGGCCAATCACAACGCTATGTTTGCAGAGAGATGTTGGGCGGACTTAGCACCAGAGCTGTGACTGAGAAAAACTACAAAGATGGCATTGGCTCAAGCACAGAGCTCATTTGAAAAAAAAATTTTTTTATCAACTCTGGACAATTTAGTGTTGGGCTTTCCTTTGAGACATGAACAGATGAAGGAACTTTGTTTTGAGAAAGAATGTATTTGCTTCTTCTTTGACAATGTACGGCGGAATGCCCCGTTGACTGATCTCTGTAGCAATGAATACAGTTTAAAAGACAATCACTGATTCCACATATGACTGAGCTCATATGGGTTGTGACCAGACTATATATTTACATATATAGGATTTATAGATAAATAAAAAGTCACCAAATTTATTGTGAACTATTTTGTCTGAAATGTATAAAATCGACTCTTTGGTTGATTTTTTTCATCTCACTTTAAGTCTGAGCGGTGCTGAGCCAGACAGACTGACAGACCTTGAACAAAAAGTAAGGGAAACCAATTCCCTGCTGGCAGTTTTGTTGGTTTTGAACTGTGTATATAAAGGATGATAAATGTGCTTTTTCACAGTTGAAAGGCAGCTAATGGAGCAGGGAGACTTGTTAGACAAAAGACACTTTAACAAGGACATGAAAGGCACAAAGGACATAAAAGTGTTCCTGGATTAACTAATGCTTCACCCAGATGACAGATCAAACATTTAGACCTTGACATTTGTAACCATGCTTCTTACCTGTATTATATTTATCACCAAAAAGGACATTTTTAATTTTCAGTCCATTTTTTAATGGAAAAGTCCATTGCTGAAATTAAGTTTTTAAGAAAATAATGTTAAATGTACACGTTACAAGTACTGGTTAATTGTTTTTATTATTTGTTGGATTTTTTTTTTACCATTTAGAAAGACCATCAAAATCTGCATGTCGGATTTGACTCAACAAAGCATTTTTTTCAGAGGGTTTCACATCATGTTCATAGTGAACAAAGAAGAAACGAGTTTTAAGGGGATTCATCAAGATGCATTTTTGAACGGCTTAATCAGGCCTTGAGGGATAATGAGATGTATATGAATTTGTTTAAAGCTGGGTTATTGCACACAGTGCAGACTTAAAATAGGTGTTGTTGTCGTTATGATTGAAAGCCACAATTTCTATTCTGTTTCACAAATAGGAATTACTATAATTGTTTGCTAGCAAAGGTGGGCTGTTAGAGTCTAAAGAGAATGGAGCACATCACTCCTGTTCTTAGATCCCTACACTGGTTACAGTAAATTACGGAATAGACATCAAAGTGCTCCTACTAGTTTATAAATCGCTCAATGGTATGGGACCAAAATACATGCCCGATCTTGTTCTTGTTAAGACTCTAGCTGCAGCATTCTGAACAAGCTGCAGCTGCTTCACAGCTTTTTTGGGAGGACCAGTTAGGAGATGTAACGTCCAGCAATGGTCAGTTTTCACCTAAAAACTGACCTACATGCCACCGGTCACTGGCAGACATAAATTCCATTCTCTAAGGTGGATTTTACATTCTATCTTCCAACAAGCAACAAGGTTCTACAAACCTTGTTGACATTTCAGGAGGAACACGATGTGAGCCTGTGTTCCCAAACAAAGCCTTCTTCTGATAACACCGCAGGATTCCTCATGCCTCTGAATAAAGTGACTATTTCCAGCTTATATGAGTTAATCAATCGTGAAATGGAATGAACAAATGTTATATGAAATGATCAATAATGTTTTGATTAATCTGTGCTTAAATTAATAAGGTTGATTAATCTGTGCTTAAATTACTGTGGTTGAAATGAAACATCTTGATATTATGATCAGTAATTTTAGATTAAACAAGTGAATCATTATCTACACTCAGACACAAGGTTCATTAGAGATAAATTAAAGTTAAGTCAAATGTCATGACACATAGATATTTTCTTATCCACAAATCATTGCATCCTGTATCTGATAGAGACGTGACGTTCTGAGGTTTGCTTGTGAACACCCCTTAACATGGCACATCCCGGTTGGCCAAGAAATCATAATATGAGAATATTAAAACAGAGCTCACTAGAAGGTGAGTTAGTTCTAGAGAAAGCTACGGACAGGCCATCCGTAGCGAACCCTCTTTAACCCAAAGCTTTCGACAAGCTAAAAGCTGCCTACAGCTGACACGGCAAAACGGTTCCTTCAGCTATTCAGAAACAGCTGTTCTAGACGCAAACAATCTCATCTATCTGCTGTGATCTGGGAGAGGACTCTGGACCGGCCTGGTCATACTGCGATCTTTTCTACAACTTCAGTACCTTGGGGTCACCCGACCCCACCGACATCTCGGATCCGAAAGGGAGTCTCCTCAGCGGTACGTTACGTAGAACACAGCCAGATTGTGTCTGATGCCATTTTGATAAGAACCAACTTCATAGTTTAATGCAAACCAAATTCTTTTCACCCAGAACTCAGTTCTTCTAGATGCAAGGTTCTGATAAACACACACCATTAAATCACCATACATCACATCCACCTAGATTCATCCATCACAGTTGTTTTAGTTAACTTGTCTTGTTTTTAACTTGTTTAGAAAATAAATTTCTTGCTTTTTATAAACCTGACTGTCTGAATTGAGATGAAGTGTGTTTGGTCCCTGAAAAAGCAAAGAATCCTAGAATCTTCTGATTAAACATCCAAAGACCAAGCAGGTTGATATTCTATATTTATATAGAGTATCACAGCTTATTGGTCATAAGTAAAGGTAATATATTAAGCTTAAAAGCAAAACATTTACCACTCTACAGAGACCATTGCAATAGTCCAACCAAGAAATAAAAGCATAAATACGTCTGGTCTGGACATGAGACCTCTGACTCATAAATTTGATAAAGGTGATAAAATGCTGATTTAGTTAAAGTCTTAATATGTCCAGAGAAGCTCAAGTCGAAGTCAATAATAATACCTACATTTCTAATCTCGGTTTTTGTCTTTTTTTCCTCTGGAGTCTAGCTGAACAGTAACATCCATTCTACTCTTCTTGTTGCCAAAGACAATAACTTCAGTCTTGTTTTTGTTTAGTTGAAGGAAGTTTGACTGCATCCAGTCGTACTTGTTCTAGACTCTGACAGAGTGAGTCTAGTGGCCGACAGTCAAGGTGATAGGGCTTTAAATGTATTTTGCTTATTTGAATCTGTCACTCTGCGTTTTTCATGAGGGCTGAACATGAAAATAGTCTCCTACACCTATCTCCTGCATTAGCTTCTGATAGAAAACAGACAGTGAAATCCTAGGATTTGAAAATCCTTACAGATCTACGTTACACAGTAACTATTAGCATTGATGGACCCAACCACCTTCTCTCACAACAGGCAAGGCTGTTTTTTTAGCATCCAGGAAACAGCAGAGAATGTTTTGGCTAGTAACAGCTAACTTCTAGCATTAGCAACTCTACAGCAGCAGAACTCCTTCAGGCTTGTGTTATTTGTGGAGATTAAGCATCGACATTGCAAAACAAAAGAAGTCAGTGGTAGAGCTGCATTGCTGTTAGCCAATTTGAGGTGAGATGTCTAAATATCCGGATATTTAAGAGCAAAATAAAAATACATTTAGGCTTAATGGATTCCTGACCCCAACTTTAAAGCCTATCCTAAAAATCTTTCTAGCATGCCTGGTTTTAGAAACCTTTTATAACAGGTACAATAAATTAAACAAGCATTCACAATGAAACTTTCATGTTTCTTTCCATTCGATTTGTTTTTATAATAACCTTTTCTGGCCCCTGAACAAATCAACATTCTCCATATATTCTGTAATAAAACATACTGGTCGTATGCTACAATCAGGGCTAAGTACCATTATAGAATTTAAGTGTTGCTCTCACTCCAACGACTCTCTCAAGTGTGGTGTGTGTAAGCCTACTTTTTTTTTTTTTGACAGTGTCTTACGTTCTTACGGGCTTAACCACTTGGCTTTGCCAGAGCACGTTATGATTGTTTAATCCCACCAGCAATAAGGATCGCTGTCAAAGTATCACAGAATTTGACAGATGACAGAATAAGCACTGCTGGGACTCAGTTCAGCCCAGAATGTTGACTCGTGATTCCTGAAAAATCCTCTTTGCAGACTTGCTTCCATCTTACGGAACTCTCCTGAGCAAATTAATCAAATTCTGATACAGCTTTACCTCACAGCAACACAGCATCACCATGAGTCTCGCTGCGGCACTGCACTCTTTTCACCAAATTAACACATGCCACTGGTCACTGTAGACATTTCCTTGACTTGGGGACATCTTTCTGCTTTAAATTTCCCCCACAGTGGAGTCATGACAAAGTTATTTTATATGTTGACTTTTACTGAGCAGGTAACACAAGCCATGGTCTAAATTATTTTATTTTTTGACATTGTCCAGAAATGATTTATTACCTTCTGCCACAGGCTTCTGATTGGGCCATTTCTGTTTTATGAAGCTAAATTAGCATAAACATTATGAAGATAGCATCCATAAGGTCAGTTTCTCACCTGCTTAACTTGAGTACTTTTGCACTTTCTGTGTGTGTGTGTGTGTGTGTGTGTGTGTGTGTGCGTGTGTGTGTGTGTGTGTGTGTGTGTGTGTGTGTGTGTGTGTGTGTGTGTGTGTAAGAAGCATGCCTACTTTTATTTTCTGAGGTCATTTCTGACCTAATTTAACGCAAATGATTAGCTGCACTGCCTTTTCTTTTTTACTCTGAGAAATCTCAGAATATTACTCCTAAATTATTTTGAACACGTCACAGTTAAACTTGGGAGTAAAATTATTTATTTTATGAAACATTGTTCCATTCATTTTAATCTTATTCCATTAATGCCTGTTAAAATATTTTTACTTCACAATATCTGCTTACAACTCGTGGAGCAAAGAAAAACGAGATTGGTCATATGTGCCTCCACGGCTTCCGTATTTTGCAGCGACACTGTTTATTAGCACTAGCTGCTAGCGCTAAGTGGCAGAATGGCTGAATATTCGCGTGTGAAATCGACTAAGCTGGTCTTGAAAGGTTCAAATAAAGGGCAAGTATTTGTCTCAATTTTGTAAAGTCGATTCTTGTTAGTTCTGGTGTTTCTTTTTTTGGTGGGCGATTACTTTTTTGGAGTTATCACTTAGCATTACCTAAAGTGCTAGTTTAGGCTAAAGCACATTATAGAAATATAAAGTTGGAGCACGTTTTAACTTGTTTAATAATTTTCTTAATAAAAACTGATATATTGTAGGTCAGTCGGTTGTCCATAAGGTTGACCAATAGTTTAACATTGACGTTGCATGTGATAATTTTATTGGAGTTTGTATTATTCCAATCCAATCCAATTTTATTTATAAAGCGCATTCACAAGGCATTACAACCAAACAAGGCGCTGTACACTAAAAATGTTAGTTAATTAAACCGGCGTTATACAAACATGTCGAACACAGATAAAAGATAAAAAGGAAATACAACAAAATTCCCAAAACTAACAGCTAAAAATCAATAAGACACAGGGTGAATAAAAAATTAGAAAAACATTTTAAAAAAGAACCTCAATAGTACGGAAGTTGATAATTGTGAAGTCCATTTTTAAACGGTGCAGATGTAAGTGAGGTTCATAATTATGTGGTATAAGCTAGGTTGAAGTAGTGAGTTTTTTTTATTATTATGTCAATAAGCAACAAGTACTCAGATTGGTGTATTTTTTCATTTAGTCATTGACTCCACTTAGTTACTAGGGTTTATTAAAGTGAGCTTGAGTTTACAGACAAACCTTTAAAAACGGTATAATAAAGTAGGCATCCTGCAATACAAGCTTTTATATGTTCATGTTAGTCAGTCTGTATTTACTTTGATTTTATTTGTTTTCCCAACAGGAAGAAGAAGAAAAACAAAGATAAGAAGAGAAAAGGCACAGATGACGAGGCGAAACTTGACATTGTTGGTATGTACAGGTTCTCCATTGCACTTGGTCAGCTGAGGAAATACTACGGTGGCCCTGAAGTGCAAATCACAAAAACAAATCACTAAACGCACAACAAATTGAAAAGCGCAAAAACAAAAAACAAACCGGAAGAGGTAGGTACCAATGCTGCAACAACAGGCATCACTGCTTGGATGATGGATCCGTTAGCCTTTTGAACCGGAAGTTGTTCTGCCGAACGTGGTTATGTGAAAGAGCAGTCAGCGGGTGTGTCCGAATCCACAGGCAGGATGCTTACGAGTATGGGTCCTCGCCGGTCTAGCAAGGCCGGGTCCTTGCCAGACCGGAACCCAGCGGCTCTGAATTCGGACAGTCTAGCCTTCACCTCTACGGTGGCCCGTAGGTCCCGTCACTGCCGCGGCGTCAGCTACACGCAAAGGAAACATGCTAAAGCTAGCGAAAGTGGAGCAGGAATATTAAGGAGCTACAGCAGCTTCACGTCCATCAGCAGCGTTTGTTCACAACTGTTTTCAGGTAAAGTAACTTTGTTTATTCTAGAAACTTTCAGGACTTACATGTTAACTTTAGATGGTTTCATGTATGTTTTAAGCTACAGAATGAACTTGTTAAACATACACAACACATTACTACAGAGTATTATCATGTAGGTAATTAATATAAACCAAATGCATTATAAATGTTGAATGCAGTAGGATGTTTTCTAATGTAAATTGGACCTTAGAACTTATTTAGCATCAAATGGGGGTAAAATGCTTTAAAAAACAGGCTTTTTAATAAAATAGCATTGAAGTGATTCCAATTTGCATTTGTTTATTCAACTTAAGCCTAATAATGATTAGATGTGCCTTAAAAATGTAAATTCTTTGTAGTTTTCCCTGCTGCTTTTCTTTAAACTGATCAGAACCAGTGTTCTGCAGGTTTTATGTTTTGTTTTACATTTTTCTATAAAAAACCTCTTATTTAATCTATTACAGGTCAGCATGCACTGTGCTGCACATCTGCCTCTGTGCTGGTGAAGTTGTGGGTCTGGAGGATGAGCGTGAGGAAGATGTGAGTGGAGGAGGTCAGTGGTGCTCTGTCCTGCAGGAGGTACCAGCAGACCACCACTGTTGTTAACAGGCAAGTTATTCACAGAGATGTAACAGCAGTCGTCTGAGCCAGCCCAGCAGGCCCTGTAGATGGACGATGGAGTGGACAGTGAGAGGAAGCGTCCCAAAGCTCTCTCTGCAGACCGTCCTGTATGATGTTCCTCTGGCCAGAAACGTCCAGCCACGGGTCTGTTCCAGCCCTCCATCCACGTCTGGATCCTCCTGCAGCAGATTCAGCTGCACTGTTAAAGACTTCCTGCTCACTCAGTTTAAATAAATGATCCAGGAAGAGTCACTCAGGTTAATCCTGCTTTAACCGTACATAACTGGTCCATACTGGTTTTGATCTGTAAATAAGTGTAACGTATTATAAACAATCTTGTCTCCTTACCATCTTTTCATTTTCTGTTCATGTAACATGTTCAAAAACATCTGTAATAATAAAATTGGTGATAAAATCAATGACCAGAAAGAGTTATCAGTTAGTATTTGTTTTAATAAATGTTTTCAAATATCAAAACAGCTAAATAACATCAACATGATGACAGTAGAAGGCCTCTCTCCCAGGAGGACCACCAGGTAAAGCCTCTCCTGACCCTGGACACCTGCAGTCCTACAGAGAAAATCAGAGACCACAGGTGACAAAAAGGCAATAAACACTTTTTTACATTTATCCACATGAGAAGATAAAAATTATATTCTTCACACAAACTTTTTACTTCATTATAACGTCAGCTGTGTAAATCCCCGAATGTAAAACTACTTTTCACAGAAGAACTTCTGTGGTTGTGTGTGTAAACAGCTTCACTCTTCACCTCTAAGCTTAATAAAAATGCTTATTTGCTCCGTTGTCCTTAAAACAAATGACAAGTTTAATTCGACACACACACACACGGGAAAAACTGGGACCCGCGATACAAACTCGTTCTGGCTGATTTCTGCCTAAAATGTAATTTTAAAAACAAATATACAAACGAAAAATGTCTATGAACTGAACCACTTTAAGCTTTTTAGGTTTCTATGGCTAGTTTTTAACAAACTTACGTTTAAAACTTCGTAGCTCTCCCCATTTTCTCTGCCTGTTGAAAATCCACAGCCGGAGCGAGGAAGCGTTTGAGGACGCGAGAATGAGTATTCTTGGAATTCGGACAGTACTAGTCGTTGCGCTGTGACGTCATCAACCTCAAAATGCACTCTTACAAGCATCCTTCCCGTGGATTCGCAACGTGTGGATCACTGGTAATGTTCATGTTTGTAAAAATGCGTTACGCAGAACAACTTCCGGTTCAAAAGGCTAACGGATCCATCATCCAATCAGTGATGCCTGTTGTTGCTGCATTGGTACCTACCTCTTCCGGTTTGTTTTTTGTTTTTGCTCTTTTCAATTTGTTGAGCATTTTGTGATTTGTTTTTGCGCGTAGTGATTTTTTGTTGCGTTTAGTGATTTGTTTTTGCATTAAGTGATTTGTTGCTGCGTGTTTCAATTTGTTGTTGCGTTAAGTGATTTGTTTTTGTGGTTTGCACTTCAGGGCCACCGTAAAATACATTTTAATTCGGACAGTTTCTTTACTGAACTGTGCTACTTTAACAGTGTTGCATTGCATATGGATTTAAAACTCACACAATCTGGATAGTCTCCATTTTCCTGTGAGTTTGCAAATATATTTACAGGTAAATCTGTAAAATATTGACATGTGTAAAAATGGATGCATGATGATTAATAAAATTGGGAAAACCCATTTTATAAATCTACTTAAGAAATGAAAACCTAACTATGTATATGTAAATATTTTAACGGAAAACAAACTTATGTAAGATCTCGGGGTTGTTCTTACCTGAAGAAACAGCCAAGGTTTGGCTGAAGGTTAGCTCTCAGCAGTGTTGGGAACATTACTTTAAAAAGTAATTAGTTATAGTTACTTTGTCAAAAAGTGACTGAGTTATTTACTGAGTTACAATGTTATAAAAGTAACTAATTACCAGGAAAGTTACTATTCTGTTATTTATTTAATAAAAATGTGTAAGAAAAATGATTTAATAGAAATTACTTAATTTAGTATAAAAGGCTATAATACAAAATTATAAATTACTAAGTAGACTTGAACATGATAAATGAACAGGAAACATTAGGTCATCTAAACTATTTAAATGTCACCGTGTGTTAGGAAACAAGAACTCAATCAACTGAACTTCATGATTGCAAATAAAAATCACCTGCAAAGGGTTCCTGAGCCTTTAAATGGTTTCTCAGTTGAGTTGAATTACTGAAATAAATAGATTTTTGCACCATAATTCTAATTTTTCTAGATTCACTTGTATATATAATTGGGCATTTTTATTAGCGTTTCTATTAGCCCAGCAGAGGATGTACTTTCTGCGGCAGTTGAAAAAGGCCAAGCTGCCGGCCCAGATGATGGTGCAGTTTTACACGGCCATCACTGAGTCCATCCTCACCTCCTCCATCGCTGTGTGGTACGCTGGAGCCACGGTGAGGGACAAACATAGACTGCAGCGCATTGTGCACTCTGCTGAGAAGGTGATTGGCTGCAGCCTTCCATCTCTCCAGGATCTGTACGTCTCCAGAACTCTGGGGCGTGCAGGTCGGATAGCAGCTGACCCTTCTCACCCGGGTCACAGACTTTTTGAGCCGCTTCCCTCAGGCAGGAGGTTACGGTCCATCCGGACCAGAACCTCCCGCCATAAGAACATCTTCTTTCCATCTGCCGTTAGACTTGTGAATAGATTATAAACATACAACCATGCTGGTCTTCTGTACTTGACACAATGTCACGTTATCGGCCATGTTATCATTACCTGCCATTTTTTATAGCTGAAAGTTTTATTCTAGTTTTTTTTTATTCTATTTATTCTATTTTATTCTATTTTTAATCTTATTATTCATGTTATATGTAGCACATTAGTACCGAAGCAAGTTCCTAGTTTGTGAATTGTTTGTTCACTGACAATGGCAATAAACCTATTCTGATTCTGATTACTCATAATCTTTCTTTCTTCTTTCTTTCGGTCTTTATTTTGGTTTATAGCATTAACATAACATTTTTCTTTTCAAACAAAACAACAATATTAACAACTTGAATTTAAACCAAAAAAGGAATAGGCAGAAGCAATGCTTATTTTAGCCTACCCTAATTTCCACCTAAGATACATAACCAATATACATTTCTTTTATTTTCCCCAATATAAATAACCACAATGAAAATTCATTAATGTCTATACATACTTTTCATACCCTGTAAATATGTGACACTTTACACCTGCTTTAAACTCTAGTAAAGAAGTACATTTCTTCAAATCATCATCTACCTCATTCCACAATTTCACACCAACAACGGAAACACATCTTGATTTCACATTAGTTCTGGCGTTTACACATTCAAACATAAATACACCTCTGAGATTATAATGATCATCTCTCGGTTTGAAATAAAGTTTTATGCAATTTGGGATATTATTATTAACTACTTTATGAAGAATCTCTTAAGATTTTTACTTTAATAATGTCTCCTAATTTTAGCTTTTTAGTTTGACTAAATAGATTATGGGTTGGTTCGAGGTATCCCAATTTATTAACTATTCTAATCGCCTTTTTTTTGTAATTTAAATACAGTCTCAACACACGTTTTACCTGCATTTCCCCAAACCTCTGCACAGTAAGACAAATAAGGCATAACTAAAGAGCTATAAATCAAAAACAAGGCTTTTTTATTTAGTACATCACTAGTAGGGCTGCAACAAACGATTATTTGGATAATCGATTAATCGGATGGGGTCTCGACACGATTAATCGATTAATCGGATTACATGGGGAAATTTTTAAAAACTGCTAGGGAAACGTTATTTCTCTCCTTCCTTCACTTTATTTAACACAACATTATTAGAAAACAGTTCAAT